CAGTTCTATACGTTATAGTTCTCAGTTCAATATGTTCACGACAATTCTATATTTGTAACGAGTAATTATTTGGGTAACGAGTTCTTATGCCTAATTAAATTGTGATCAATCTAAAATTGTACTGAGCAAGAATAGGGATCTTACCTTGGGATTTTGTCGAACGATTTGATAATCATATTTTATTATAATTTTATACCCTCATTATCTATTTTATATGAATAAATATACTATTAATAATTGTTTTTATCTTTAATTGCAGGTTAATGAAGAATAAATCTCAAAACCCTCATCTCTCAACAAAAAGCCCATAATTTAATGAAGAAATGAAGCCATGAAGCCCAATGAATTCTTTCAAGTATTTAATAAAGAGATAAATCAAAGCCCAAGCCCAAGAGTCCAAGAAAAGCCCAATGTCCAAAGCCCAAAAGCAAACAACAAGAAGAAGCTGCGGACAGCAAAAGGAGAAGGGCAGGCATCGATGCCTGCATCGATGGCGGCATCGATGCCCGCATCGATACCGACATCGATGCCTGCATCGATGCCTGTATCGATGCCTGCATCGATACGCTGGGCAGTTTGTTACGAATCTCCAGATTACTGTAGCGCGCGTCAATGGCTGATTTTTGTTGCTTTTGGATAAGATTTCAATCCAATGGCTCTCATTCACTGATGTTTACTATAAATAGGGGTAGAGAGTGAGGGGTTAGAGGGTGAAAATTTTGTAAACTCCTTTTGAAGAGGAGTGCTACTCTTAATTGAGAAGGCCTTCCAAAAATTATAACTTTAGTTACAATTAATAATAATAATTTTTTCACCACTTTAAAATTTTCTCTTCTTCTCTTTATTGGATGATGAAGATGAAGATGAAGATGGAGAATTATTTGAAGGTTTGCATTTCTTTTCTTTTTCTCTTTTATTTATTTCTATGCTTGTAGTTTAGATTTTATTTTCTTGTTAAATAGCCAAGAGGCTAGAACCCTCTTGCCTTAGATTTATTTCATGCTTATAGAGTAGATTTATTTTCTTGCATTTAATTCTTGCAATTTTATTTTGTAGTTTAGATTTTGCAATTTATTTTGTAGTTAGATTTTAATTTCTTATACTATTCACCTTGAGGCTAGAACCCTCTTGGGTTTAGTTTTTCTTTTTGTTTATTTTTATTTTGTTTGATTCGCCTTTAGGCTAGAACCCTCTAGGGAATCACCCTTTTCTAAGAAGTGGGTTCAATTTTAGATTACCCATATCTATAATTGAATCCACCATCTTTAATTTCTTGCATTTTCTTTTATTCTTGAATTTTATTTTCTTTATTCTTGATTTTTATTTTCTTTTTCCTTCTTGCCTTATTGATCATATTCATTCTTTGTCACATCCACTCTCACTTATATTTCGTACTGATTTACACACTATCACTTTCACTCTTTCTATCTCTCCACAATCACATTTACTCATCACTCCTTTTTATCACGCACACAAAATAAGAACCGAATTTATATTTTCTCCTACAAAACACCTTCCTCGTGGGATCGATATCTTAAATACTATAACTTGACACGGTTGTGCACTTGTAACCTTTTTGGTACATGTTTATGCCGCATCAAGTTTTTGGCGCTGTTGCCGGGGAAGGTGCTTAAGTAGGTTTTAACTATTTTGGTTCTTTAACTTGTGTGTTTTTTGTGAAGGAAACGCTTGGAGCTTGAAGATCGCGGATTGGAGAGCTAGGATTTAAAGATTTGCTTTCAGGTAAGTCCTCTTTCTAGTTTTTAATTCCACCCTTTAGCTACTTCTTCACAATTAGAGACAATTAGGACTTTAAAAAAAAGAGATTTTATTTTTTGTTGACCATAATAAAATTCATCCTCCACTTTGACATTTACTAACAAGATAATAAATTCAAACAAATCCTCCCTCATTTGTTTGATTGTTAATCCTAATTAAAAAAAGATTTTTTTTCCATCCTTTTTAGTTGCTTTTAATTCATAGGGTTGCATTTCATATAGTGTAGGAATTCACCAAGTGATTTGAGCATCTTGATTTGACACACACTTAAAAATATTTTTAAGGGCAAAACCCCATAATCAAGATAAGATGAGGGATTTCATCATCCTTTCCTTAGCCCAAAAATCACGAATTCCTCACTACACCACCCTAGCCTAATAAAACTCATTAGACGTTGGCCCCTAAGGATTCGAGCTCAATAAGGAACAAAAAATCCTTAAGTGAACCGGTTTAAGTTTTCTCAGATTAGTTGGTGTCTAAGGCAAGGTTTAGGGGTTGCGTAAAGCGCTCCGTAAGGAAAGAGGTACTTAATTGATCTTTGATCACCCTCTAGTACTATCCTTACCTGGCTAACTACCTGGGTAAAACTTTTATCTTTTCACTGTAGGAGTTTTTGGTTAGGAGCTGGTCTAGTGAATTAGGCTAAACCCTAGAATTAGAGTGATTGAAAAGTGATTGTTTTGATTTGTTTTTTAGGATTTTTCTTTTTCTTTATCTTCTCAAAAAAAAAAAAACTAATTTTCTTTCTTTTCTTTAAGAAAAAAAAATAAAAAAAATAAAAAAAAAATATTTTGGTGTATGCAACAGTGGATTAGGGATAATACACATCGATTAATTCGCTTTGAACCAATCATAGAAATGGAGCATCCTAATCCACCCGTTCTTCATGATATGTGCTATCCCATTAGGAATGCAATCCCCTCATGCATTAGGCTCCCCGAAACAAATGGAATAAGTTTTGAGCTTAGACCGCAATACATAAACATGCTTCCCAAATTCCTTGGTAATGAAACAGAAGACGCATATATTTTTATTTCGGAATTTGAGGAAGTGTGTATTATGATTAAAATGAGAGAATTAAATGAAGATGCGGTTAAGCTTAGATTTATTCCATTTGCTCTTAAGGATAAAGCTAAAAAATGGCTGTACAGCTTACCAACAAATTCCATCTCAACTTGGGATGAATTTGTCACCGTTTTTCTTAAGAATTTTTTTCCTATTCATATAACGGTAAAGCTTAGGAACAACATTCAAAACTTTAAAATTATCCCGGGAGAACCTTTTTAGAAGTATTTTGACCGATTTAAAGATCTTCTCATCCAATGTCCTCATCACTATCACTTTCACTCTTTCTATCTCTCCACAATCACATTTACTCATCACTCCTTTTTGTCACGCACATAAAATAAGAACCGAATTTATATTTTCTCCTACAAAACACCTTTCTCGTGGGATCGATATCTTAAATACTATAACTTGATACGGTTGTGCACTTGCAACCTTTTTGGTACATGTTTATGCCGCATCACGATTCGACGTCGACGGGCGAGTCCGCGGGTCTGATCTGAGCGTCGGTCGGAGTTGTTGGGGTTGCCGTCAGCGGGAGAGGTCGTCGGTGACGTCGACGGCGAGGCGAGGACAGCGGCGAGCTCGGGC